AAAATTTTCGGAATCCGGGCACGTGGGCCCGGGGATGAATTTTAGGAATCCTGCATTTAGGATTGGGTAATCACCTTAATAGTTGGAATATGAATTTTTGAGCGTATATTGATGTTTTTATACACCATTTGAATAGTTTTGGATTGTTCGACACCAATTTGGGGGTTTGAGCTCATTCTTGGACCAGAAAGTAGGTCTTGAGACGAGGTAAGTCTCCTTTCTAACCTTGTAAGAGGGAATTAACCCTGTAGGTGAAATATTTCAATATGTGCTTCTATTTGTGGGGGCTACGTACACACAAGGTGATGAGAGTCCATGCGTAGCTACTATTATGCTTAAGTCCGGGTAGCCCTAGGACCCAAAAACATGCTATACTTGCAATATTTGTAACCTTATTGTCAATTTAAATTGCATAAATCATATCGAATTGGTAAATGAATTTCTAAAAGGTTAAAATTCATTTTCTTGATCGTTAAAAGAGGATTGACGTTCCCTTGGATAAATGCTCCTTCAATAAATATTTGATTGACTGTTTGATCATGTTTTCCTTTTGTGGTATGGGTCGAACGCTAATCACGCCTAACTATGCCTTATAAAAAGGATAAAGCGGTTGTTGCAAATATAATCCGGTTTACAAGTCCAGAGTCGAATCCCACATAGAACTAAGGCTTAGCTACAGTTGTTCACTATCACCAAGAATACATGCTTGAACAATTCCTAACTTATAGATAATAAAATTCTTGTGTTTAACTAACTAACTAACAAATTAAAATAATAAATTAACACTAAAGATACTACAGGTTGGAGAAAAGATTAAGGAGATCTAGTGTTATGATTTCCCCAATTGTCGGAATCCTTCCTGGTATGTCTTCTATAATTTCGCCTAAATATTCGCTACCGATCATGAGCGCTCTAAGTGTTGTATTTCTCTCCCGAGTAATTACGACAATTTACTAGACATACTCTCCTGAGTTAAGCTAGTTGGCTTTAATTACAGCTCACTTAGATCGCACCCAAGGTTTCGTTATCCCTAATCCCTCCTTTAAACCCTTGGTTATTGATTCCCCACAAATGTCGGGAGTGATGTTGTTCAACAACTACCTAAATATGCACTCTCTCCCGAGTAATACATACTAAATAGGCACAGCTAATTGAGGGCCCTTCAATTAACCACAATAATAATATAGTTGAACAAATATAGAAAATACTACGGCTCAATTATATAAAAACATAACAAGAATTTATCCTACAAAAGGTTCCATCAAAACCCTAGATAACAAATTAGCTATTCATAATAGTATGTAAAACTACAATATTAAAAGTTATAAACAACAATGAAAAATAGGAAGAAGGAAGTGAGAAACTTGTAGAAGAATTCCCCGCCTTGCTCCTAATGTGTTCTTGCCTCCTTAGGTCGAATCTTCGGTCTCCTTAGCCTCCTTAGGTCTAAATTATGTCAAAAGTCTTCAAAATACCGTTTTTCCATGTATATATACCAAGTAGGATTGGGCCCAAACAATTACACCTTCTCCCACGCGAAAAAAACACTTTTCCCGGATCTGACTAGCGCGGTGGCCGCGCATATTGCCCAGTATTCTACCTGAATGGGCGTGGCTGCGCACTTGACGCGCCGTTTCATCCTGTTCAGTTTGGAATTTGGAAAAATGTAAAACGTGAAAGTTGTAGCCCTTTGAGTTAGCTTTCCAACCATATATTTTGAAGCCCAAATGGAGTCCTGAAAAAAGAGTTATGTGCATGTTACTAGACAGTACGCAATATGCCTGCTCGATTCTTCGTTCGCTCTAACTATCATCCGTTGACCCCCGAACACGATCCCGGCTTAATCCCTTGAGATTTTACTTAGAATTCAAAGCTCCAAATCACTTGAATTCATTCCATAACATCTACATAGCTCAGAATCACTCCTATAAGGCATAAAATATATAGTTAGTGCAAAACACTAGCAATTAAAGCTCAAATTCAATTAAAGTGCAGTAAATTAGAGTGTAATAAGCGACTAAAATACGTAATTATAACCTATAATCAAACACATTGGTATATTAAATAGATACATCTATGGTTCGCACCGCTCGACCTTCCAGCATTGTACAGTTTAATATTATGTTGGATCGAGCCGTACGACCTCGACATGATTGCGCATGACTTAATCGATTGTTTTGGAATTGTTGATGATTGATGCGGCCTCATTGGCCGGAGATAAATTGTTAAAATATTAAAATAAAATCTATCTATTAACAAAAGAATTGTTTGCCTACTTCATGTTATTGAGTTTGCAGTCGTCTTATAAAACCCATGATTTAATATTATCGATATATTATTGTTGGCCATAGTAAGTGTCAGAGTCGACCTCTCGTCACTACTTCTTCGAGATTAGACAGGATACTTACTGGGTATGCGTTGTTTTCGTACTCATACTATACTTGTTGTACATTTTGTTGTACAGGTACATGTATGTTTAGTGGCCTTGTAGGCGCAGCTACGTGGTTTATACGGGGACTTAGGTGAGCTGCATCTTATGAGATGATTCGCAACCAGCAGAGTCTAATTCAGAGTATTTGTATTTTCTTTTCTGTCCAAATTTGTATTTCGAACAGTTATTGTATTTTATTTTATTTTCTAGTAAATGCTCATGCACTTGTGACACCGGAGTCTGGGATGATGGTGAGATATTTAATATTGAAATTGGAAAAAGTTATTATTATTATTCTTTAAAGTTCATCTTTTACTAGTTAAATTGAAGGAAAATTTATGATTTCAAAGATATTAAATTGAGGATTTAAATAATTATTTAGCGTTGGCTTGCCTGACAGTGGTGTCCGGCGCCATCGCGACCTTTAATAGATTTTGGGTCGTGACATTGTGTGAGGCCTCTGCTTTTGAATATTGTCTACATTTAACCTTTGTTGTACTATCTGGCCAAATTTACCTTTACTGTTATACTATCTGGCCAAATTTAGCCCTATCATCAACAAATATTTAAAAATTACCCCTTGCTTTGTTAGGTAATCCAAAATATTTCTTTTAATTTAAATCACTTGTTGTTTTTCTTGCTCCACTATATTTAGAAATTAATATTGATATGAATGCTAAAGTTACTACACTATACAAATTATTCATAAATATTTTTAATTACCAATGCATCCGCTTCTCTTCTTGTAATAATGGATTTGGAATAAGTTTAAAATTTTATTTATTTCTCAATCATATACACACAATAGATTTCAGTGGGTCTATTTATTGTGTATTATATGCAGCTGATCATCATGTATGTACATGTATATTCAAATATATTTTGTTATTGTCTGGTTAGTATAGAGTTCGGTCGACTAACTTAATTAAGAATGCACAATATGTAGGCATTTGAATAAAGTAAAGTTGAATTCGACAATGTAAAGTCTCTAAGGAACTTCAACTTTAATCACTAATACTTGGAAAGTCTCCGTGCATTTGGTGCAACGAATTCATTAAAATTTGGATGTTGTGAATACTTTTAGACTTTAGACAAACTACCTAATTTAGATTTTTCAATTTACTATACTTTGTTTATTAACAGTTGTATTATTTAATATTTTTTCTCTTATTTTTTTCCAATTCAGAAAGCGGGTAAATAAATTATTTCAAAAATAGTGGACCAAGAAGAAGAATCAGTAACTTAATTAAAATAATTTAGGAGATTTTGGGTTATCTGACGGACTGAGAGGTAATTTTTTAAACTTTGCTGATTGTAGGAATAAATTTGGCCAGATAGTATAACGGTAGGGATAAATTTGGCGAGATAATATAACGGAGGTTAAATGTAGACAATATTTAAAAGTAGAGGGATATATTTGGCCCTTTTCCCTACATAATAATCAATCCAATAATAAAGCTAAGGTCATCTCCAACCCTTGCCTCCATTTCTCCTCCAAAATAGAGTAAAGTTACTCCAATCATTACTCCAATTTTTACTCCAAAAAAGAATATTTCATTTTATATTCTTCTCTCTATTTAATATTATATTATTATTTTTTATTTAAATTTTATTTTTTATTTCTATTAAAGAAAGTCTATCTTTTTTTCTTTTTTTACATATTCATCACATATAATTTAATATAAAATTATTTTATACCATAAATTTTTAAATAATATAATTTTTAAGCAAATGTTATAGATTATACTATTTACCGTAGTTTCAATTTTATAACAACAACCTCTTGCTCTTGGGGTAGAGAGGCTGTTTCCAAATAGACACTCGACATCCTTCCCTCCAAGAACTTCTCCACCTTGCTCTTGGGGAGACTCGAACTCACAACCTCTTGGTTGGAAATGGAGGTTGCTTACCATCAGAGCAACCCCTCTTATCTAGTTTCAATTTTTATGTACTTTAATTTAATGTATTTTCAATTTTCATGTATTTTCAATTTTAATGTATTTTCAGTTTTCACTTTTCAATTTTAGCAACGTTTAATATTTTATATTTGCACCATTCATTTTTTGAGATGATTATATGATTTTCATGTACAATTGTAACTTATAATAAAATTATCTTATAATTTTATATAAGAATAATAATACATGAAAATTAATTTATCAAAATTATACGCCAAAGTTAAGATGTAAATTAATATTATTAAAATATTACATAAACATAATAAGATATATATAAAGAGATAAATAATAAAAATAATAATAAAATAAGGGTGAATAGTAATGGAGGAGATGAATAGTGTCACTCCATATTTGGAGTAACACTATTCATCCCCCATTTTTGGGGTTGGAGATGCATTTTGGCAAAAAATGGCTCCATTATGGAGAAATGGGGAGGGTTGGAGATGCCCAAAAGGTTAGAGAAAAAGAGTTGCCAATTTTATGAACTAGAGTATCGGATGCTCCACTAATAAAACACAGTACAACACGCACTTGCAACTTCACCAAGTACTGTGCTTTATCTTCTTAATCAAGGCAAAAGATAATTACGACTGATTTTATGGATAGGAAAGTGATAAGAATACAATAGGCTGGAATACAAGTTGAACAATGTTTCAGAGTTAGGAAGTTCAAAGACCAAACGGAAATTTACATTTCTGATGCTACGACCCACAATTACAGGGAAACCGACTGCAGCAACATGTTTTCACGTTCAAATTATTATTATACACAAACCCCCCACCCCCACCCCAAACCAAAAAAAAAAATCCATATTCAGGCAAACACACAAAGACGGGCATATCGATAATTTCTTATCCAGTCTCTGAAGCTCGTCCATAACAAGTCTCTAAATTGAACTATGTCTTGCTGTAGCAAAGTGGACCACAAGAAAATTCTAATTGATCCAGTGTCAACAGTAAATGGTACTTCCTGTAAGATTCATTAGTTCAATTCCATGAGCAGAGGTTGTAGGGTCTTATTGCTGATCTTCATCTGACCTCGACCGCATCAAGCGCCTACGCCTTCTTGGATTTGTAGGTATGTCACCACTCATGTCACTCAATATGTTAAGATCACGCTCATCTTCTTCGTCTTCGTCACCATCTTGTAGACCTAGCAGGTTTTCACCCCAAAGATACCGGCGCCTAGATAAAGGTCCAGTGGACCGGCGGTGCCTTGACAAAGCTCTTGACCTGCCACCTCTTGCTTCAGATATTGGGTCCATTGAACCAATCATCTGAAACAAGAAGAAGGTACTCAACCACCTGCTGTTTCCACCTGCACCTCGTTCCCTTTCACCGGATAGCCTGTCTCCATTCTCAATCACATAATCTCCAAGCACGACGGCACCAGGCATGGCAGAGCGAACAGCACTGACAATGTCATCATACTCTCTTTGGTTTTCAAGCCGTCTCCAAGCTTGCTGTCTGGAAGGGTCAATATCAGCAGGGCGTGCTGTCGGGTGAACTCTCCTAGCATGCCGGCGCAATTCTCTGTAGTTACCGACGAATGAGCATGACTCATGAGAGCAACTTCTATGCTTCAAATTCAGATACATTCTGGCTTCTTCCACTACTTTCCAGCCTAACACATCTCCACGGCACATAGGACACTTCAATTTCAATTTTGAGTCAGATGAGTCAGCACTTGCTGTTTCATGACTACTTCCACGTACAGTTACAGCACCTGAAGTTTGTACAGTACCTTCATGGATCACCATGTGATTATCTCTGTTACTATTTCCATGAACAATAGAACGATCGCTTAAATTTCTCAACTGCTCATCGGGGTTCTCAACAGCAATGTCCAGGTTTCCCTGTGTCATAATAGGACTGTCCCTATTTTCGGCTCTGAGTTTTTTGAAACGATCCAGGCAATTTGAATGCCTATAACTTGTATCACAAATGTATGACCGGCATCCCTTATCATGAGAGCTACAAAGGAGAAGAACAGCATTGTGTGGATGATCCATGCATACAGGGCATGAAGCTTCATCCAATTCCTTGTAAAGGACATGCATATCTACATCATTTGAGATGCTTCGTTTCCTACTAGCCATCTACGTACACTATAAATTGTTACTAAAAACAATGGAACCGCCAGATTAATGCAACAGCAATAATGAAACAGGACATTTTGTAACATGACAGACTGAAAGCAAACTGTTTTAAAGACCCCGACTCCTCATGTTATACAAAAATCATGAACGAGATTGTGCAAACTAATGAACTTATGAATAACAAACAAGTTTACTTCGAGGCGAAGCAAACATAAGTATTTATAAAGCTGCATGCTTTCTCACTCTACATTATTCTTCCGCTGGTGCTAGGAGAGTGGACTTGCACTATCCGAGGTTCTTATGCGCTATGCTTTCCCTTACTAGTAAAGGGGCTGCTAGTAGTAGCTTTGCTTAGGCAAGGGAGTCGCTCCTTTTCTAAGTGGATTTCCACCCTTGCACCCCCGTGTTATTATACTTTGACTAGGGGCCTTTGCTGTCTATAATTAGAGGTGGATGGCGTAGTCAGACAAAAGAAAAAACACTGCTGGAAATTGTTTAAAGTAGCTAACGAAAGGTGAAAGAAGGCCCCAGAGAAAGAATCTTTATACAAGTTCGCGGCTGAGAGAAATACCACTACCCACCTATTGACAGACATTCTCTTTCATATTAATAATCCAGAAAAATAATTATATTACACACTCGCTATCACAACACATCCACTGAAGAGAAAAAAACAATAGCAGGGCACATGAATCCTTATACATGTTAAGAACTCACAGACAATTCATGATCCCAGGCCAGCTACCAACAACCTCTTTTATGTTTCCTCTGATACATTTTGGAGTTCCAAACCTGCGAGCACTCACTAACTTAACCACTCCTTCTAACAACTACATCTAGATAACAAACCAAGTTCTGGAAAATACAAGACCTATAGGTCCAGTACCACGTGTCTTATAGATTTGCAGTCTCCAAACCAAGTTCTGGAAAATACATGACCTATAGAGTCGGTATGCTGTTCTTTAGCAAGAGAACTTAGCATCTTTGGCAGTAATATTCTCTAAACTGAAGGTAAGAAAAGGAAGCCACCATATGATAAACATAACCAATGTCTTAAAGTTTTTGAACCTGCAACAGAAACAAAGCTAGTACATCCACAATATCTCAACTGAGTTAGAATATAAGATCATCGACCAATCCATGCAAGTCAAATGTACTAGTGGGTAGTACGATTTACACGAAAAACTACTTGATTCGTTCTCCGGTGTTTGAAGGACACTAGCCAATACGGAAAGTTCTCTCATGCATGCTGAAATATATATGTAGTGCATTATTGTCTATCTTAGCAAAAGTATTCAGTCTATTCAGCTCTGCCATCTATTCTATAGGACTAACGTTTTCCCATCTCCTTTTTTCCTTTTCTTGCTTGGAAAATAGAGTGCATAATCATTTCGGCTTCCTACATGATTATATTTTCATGCCATTTCCCACAAACCAGTAACCTCTCAGAAAATTTACAATTTTGCATTGGGACAAGAACCTAAACAAATATAGGAGTGTGCACTGATATGCATGTGTGCTAGCAAATGAAGGGATAGATATACCAGAAATTGATGTCTCCAAATTGACATCCATAAATAACATTCAAGTAAGATATAAAAGAATTTATCATGAGGCAGTTGAACACATAATAAACAAACATTACCCACATCTACGACTTCTGGCAAGTGTACTCACCAAGAAATACACCAAGTTTCTTCTCTACACTGGTTCTTCTGAAACTTGCAACTTTGGTCAGTATTACTTGATTGAATTACTATAAAATCCTTATGCCACTCTAGAATGCAATTAATGGCAAAGCTTCACGAGCCGTATTTATTTTCAACGTTGTACAGTCCTAGACATCTGGAGGCAATATGTGTTGAATACAATGCAGTACTAGTCTATATCTTAGCCACAATCAGCGATGAGTCCTAAAACCTGCAGTTAAGTATGAAAAAGATGATAGTAATGTGCACGATTCAAATTAATAGATGATTGATAAGGGAAAATTAGGAATAAGGGAGGTAATTTAGTCGAATTTGAAACAAAACCCACCATCTAGAACCCCAAAAATGACAAATAAAATATACCATGTTAATAATTTCTCCCCAAAGATCTAATTTTGTAGCAATATTTAGCAAATCAAGATTACATATTCCACGTTGATCCATTAATTTTGTAGATAGAACATAATATTGTAAATTTTTAACCAAAAGACCAATAGAAACACACTCTAGAGGAAATCCAACTCCAACTAGATGATATTATTGTTAATAGAAGATTAATAATTAACAAAGAGACACTCAAAAATTACAATTCAACAATATCATAGTCCTGAAAAGTCAAAATACCATTAGATCAAAAAGATTGTGACTTTATAGGTATAGCGATCATTACAAAGAAGCAGATACATGTAGATCCGCTAATAACCACAAGAGTATACCATATAGGATCACAAAGATCAAATTAGGGCAGGAAAAACAAAATCCCCAAAATATAAGTAATTGGGAAATTAAAGGGTCCACGAAATTACAATCCAAGATGAAATTGGAATAAGCCCAGCATTTGTCCTTACGAGATTGATTGTTGATTTTGCTTCAATTCAATAATTCAATAATTAATGAAAAAACACAAACTTTTATCTGAAAATTATGAGAGGCGTCCAGTGAAAGAAGGTTGAAGATATAAACAAAAAGTTGCAGTTGATACCCAACCGCTCTATATACGGTGACAGAAAAAAATGAAAAATCTTTTTATTCTTTTTATTTTTTTATTTTAAAAGAGTATAAATATCTTTGTTGTAAAACTATTATTAAATGTGGATGTGCACATTTACTCTCGCTCCCATGATGTAAGTAACCTCCCATTGCTCGTCACTATTCTGATTGTAATTCCACACCTCTATAACTCCTCCCATGATCTTACTTCATAATCTCAATTGTTAATATCATGTTTAAGACAATCATTTTGTAACATTCATGTAATATAGTATAAATAGAGGCATGAAATGTAATATGGGACACACTTAACACTTGATAAAATAATAAAGTTATCTATTCTTCTCTTATTCTATTACGTATCTTCTTCTTTTATATTGTTACTTTGAACTACATTTCTTAGCACGTTATCAGCATGAAGTCTTTAACCTCAAGGTTAACCGATAATCTTCTCCAAGTTAAGTTCTCACTCTTCTATCTGCAAGAAAATAAAATTTCTCAGTCTTCAATTGGATCCAAGATGAGTAATGAAGATTTATGCCTTTTCTTTTATTTGGTTATGAAAAAGGCCTATGTTAATAAAATATCTGATAGTACAAAATTAATTGAGGCTCTGGAAGAGTGGCCTTAATACTAACTGGAGGAACGATATTGACTATTAATAATGCATTGTATTGTAGTAAGTCTTCATTGGTTTTGGGAAAGTATTTGTGGAGATTCTATATCGGGAGTTTATATAAGTCATTCACCCTTGTTTGAGTGTTTTTTGTTGATTATTTTTGTCAAGTTGCTATTAACTGTTAGGCTTACCTAGTCGTAGGGACTAGGTACCACCACGACATCCTACAGAGGGAAATTAGGGTCGTGACAAGTTGGTATCATAACTCTTGGTTCATAGGTGTTACGAGTCATAAGCAGGTTTAGTAGAGTCTTCCGGATCGGTACAAAGACATCTCTGCTTATGTTCAAGAGGCTACAACACTGTTAGGAAAACTTCACTTCTTTGATTCCTTATCGTACGAATTGGTTGACATCAAAAACTGAATCTTTGACTTTATATTCTTTCACATATGGTGAGGACACGCACTGTTGGATTCGGCGATCAGACACTCGCGCCCCTTGTTAGAGCCGCGAAGGATGGGGCCGGGGTAGAGGCCAAGGAGGGGCACGTGGTACAACCAGAGCACCTGCTCGAGCTGCACAGATGAGTCACCAATAGCTCCAATTGGGGATGCGCACCCGAGGCGCCTGTTGTCGCTCTAGCACTTTAGGAGATCCTCACACAGTTCTTGAGCATGTTCAGTAGCTTAGCTCAGGCGGGGTTGATTCTACTTGCACCAGCCACATCTCAAGCTGGGGAGAAGCACAGACTCCTACAGCCCGTACCCTAGAGAAGTGGGTCTAGGTTGATCAGATCCCAGAGGTTATACCGGTACAGCCTATTGCTCCGGTTCAGCCCGTGGTTAGGGTAGCAGCATGTGATGAGGAGGAGCTCAAGCTTGAGATGTTTAAGAAGTATCACCCTCCTACTTTCAGTGGATTGTCTTTAGAGGACACACACAGTTTTCTTGAGGAGTGCCACTATATTTTTCGCACTATGGGTATTGTGGAGACATGTGGGGTTGCTTTTATTACGTTTCATCTAAAGGGAGCGGCATATCAGTGATGGCGAGCATATGGGGTGGGTAGCCCAACCGAGGCAGTTTCACTTACATGGACTCGGTTTTCAGAGTTCTTGAGAGAGTTTGTTCCTTAGACCTTTTAGGATGCATGGCACTCGGCGTTTGAGCAGCTGTGCAATGGTGCTATGACAGTGTCAGAGTATGTTGTCCAATTTAGTGACTTGTCCAGACACGCACCTGCCTTGGTTTCTACAGTCAGGAAGCGAGTTCGTCGATTTATCGAGGGGATCAACTATAGTATTAGATTTAGCATGGCTAGAGAGTTGGAGACAGATACTCCATATCTGCAGGTTGTTGAGATTGTATGGATGTTCAGAGTTCTTGAGAGAGTTTGTTCCTATGACCCTTTAGGATGCATGGCATGCGGCGTTTGAGCAGTTGTGCAATGGTGCTATGACAGTGTCAGAGTATGCTGTCCAATTTAGTGACTTGTCCAGACACGCACCTGCCTTGGTTTCTACAGTCAGGAAGCAAGTTCGTCGATTTATCGAAGGGATCAACTATAGTATTAGATTTAGCATGGCTAGAGAGTTGGAGACAGATACTCCATATCTGCAGGTTGTTGAGATTGTACGGATGTTGGAGGGTATCCGAGGCCATGAGAGAGATGATAGGGAAGCCAAGAGGCCTCGTGGTAAAAGAGGATTTAATAGTGGTCAAGCTATAGCTACAGTCCGTCATGGTAGAGGCTATGTGAGTCGTTCAGTTCACTCATCATTTCTAGCTTCTACTGGTGCTCCGCTTGTTCCAAGGTCTCAGGTTGCACACTTTGCTCAGCCACTTTCTAGTGCACCTCCTGCATAGGGGGCCTTCAGCGGTCAGTTCATCCGACTAGGTCCAAGCCAATCCTACCCGCCATGCCTACCGAGAGTTTGTTTTGAGTGTGGCGATACTCGTCATATGGTTAGAGACTGCCTTATAATCAGGAGGGGTGCACCTCCACAAACTACTCAGGCTCCATGGATTAAGTTAAGTCCACAGACTCAGGCCATGATTGCTGCCCCAGTTGCCACTCCACCCGCACAACTAGCTTGGGGTGGGGGACGGGCGGGTAGAGGTCTCCCTAGAGGGGGAGGCCAGGCCATATTATATGCTTTTCCGAGTTGGACAGAGGCAGATGCTCCACACGTAGTCATTATAGGTATGGTTCCGATTTTTCATAGAGATGCATCAGTATTATTTGATCCGTCATTCATATGTGTCATCTTACTTTGCTCCGTATTTGGATATATCACATTATTCTTTGAGTTGTCCTTATTATGTGTCCATGCTGATAGAAGATTCTATTGTTGTGGACCGTGTGTATCAGTCATATTTAGTTGTTATTAGTGATTTTGAGACCATAGTTGATCTATTGTTACTTAGTATGATAGACTTTGATATTATCTTGGGCATGGACTGGTTGTCGCCCTATCACGTTATTCTAGATTTTCACGCCAAGATAGTGACGTTGGCCATGCCAGGCTTGCCACGATTAGAGTAGAGGGCTGTTTTGGATTATGTTCCTAGCAGGTGTGTATTATTTCTAAAATCTCAGCAGATGGTTGAGAAGGGGTGTGATGCTTATCTAGCCTTTGTGAGAGATTTTAGTGCTGATACTCCTAATGTGGAGTTAGTTCTGGTAGTGAGAGACTTTACAGATATATTTCTAGCGGATCTTTCGGGCATTCCCCTCGATAGAAATATCGATTTTGGTATTGACTTGTTACCGGACACTCAGCCCAATTCTATTCCACCATATCATATGGCCCCGGCGGAGCTGAAAGGGCTAAAGGAGAAGTTGCAAGATTTGCTTGATAAGGTTTTCATTCGGCCTAGTGTGTCGTCGTTGGGTGCTCCAGTCTTGTTTGTGAAGAAAAGGATGGCTCTATGCGCATGTGTATTGATTATCGTCAGTTGAATAAGGTTACAGTGAAGAATTAGTATCCATTATGACACATTGATGACTTGTTTGATCAACTACAAGGTGCCAGAGTATTGTAAGGCCCTGAAAATTTTACCTAAAACCCTGAGATTTCCTGATGCTGAGATAGACTTATGTATTAAAGATTGTAGAGATTAGCTCGTTGCAGTACCGACTTTTTGGGTTTAATAGTACACTATGGAGTTAAAGGAAACTATTGGCAAAAAAAGACATTTTTGTGGACTACTATGCGGCCCAGAATCACTCTGCATGCTGTAGAGTGAAGTAGAAACTTCAGCAAAATTTTGGACCAATTCGCGGTCTATTATGCGGCCGCACAATAATTTCGCGGGCCGCACATCAATCGCAGATTCAACTTGGAAATTTTTCGGAGGGAGGTTCTGCGGCACATTATGCGGCCGCAGAATAGGTGTGTGGACTGCAGACTAGTCGCAGAGTGAAACAGAAAATGCCAGTTTTAGAGGGCCAATTATGCATCCCATTTTGCAGACCGCAGAAGCATTATACGATCACATATGCAACTGTAGATCCTGTTTTGGAGCCTCATTTTTGGGTTTTATAACCCGACCCTATTTTGTTAAAATAGATGCAATCAACCATTTATTAGCAAAAATCTGATACTTTTAGAGTGAGAGAGAGTGACCTAGAGTGGAAAAGTGATCTTTATCAAATTATCCTTCAATTTTTACTTAAGTCTTTGAAGATTATCAAGGAAAAGCACACTAGGTCTTCATCCTAGAGGTAAGATTCTACACCATAACTATTAATTTCGAAAATTTAACTAGAAATGGGTAATTAGCAAGACAATTCTTGGGTATGAGAGAGGTTTATTTTTGCATGGATGTGTTATCAAAGGGTGTAGGAAGGTTGTGAGCTAAAAGTGATAAAGAATAGGTTGCGGGATGATGGAATCTTCCATAAAAAGGGCCTTGAAAACTTAATGCACACTTAGTGTTTGATAAAATTCTCAAATGAGCTAGAACCATGATTATTTACCTAATTTTAGTTCAAATTGTTATAGTTCAAAAAATAGATTGAAGTTGTTAAGAATTCCGGAACATTTTAGAGTTTAAAGAAGCTCAATTGAAGTATGTTGGCTAAATTCCTTTTTTATAATTGAATCCCACGGTGTTCATGTAAGTTATGTAAGACCCGAGTTGATCATTATGAAATTGGCTATTCCGAGTAAACTTGTGTTGAAAGATACATGCTCAATATGTGTTTCAAATGATTTTATCATGCAATGTTATCAATTGAAAATATATTCAGAGTATGTGTTGTGTGTTATAAATGTTATGACTTCAAGTCAAGTTTGAATGAAGGTTATCATGCTAAATTATGTGAAAAACTCTATATGTCT